CCTCCGCCCGCGCCCCAGGGCCAGCGGGAGCCGGCACCACGTGCTTTCGGAACGTCTGGGCTTCATGGCCCCAGTTTCCCAGGACCGAGGGGGTCCGTTCCTCCTTTCTCAGAGGAGAGTATGGTTTCCAATAGCGATGGGCCACGGGGGCCTCCGCCAGCCAGGTTCGGGGCTCAGAAGGGGCCCATTCCTTCCTTGTTGTCAGGGCCACACGGGCCCCCTCCCTACGGGGACAGCAGGGGCCCCTCCCCCTCCCACCTTGGGGGGCCCAGGGGAGCAGCACCCCAATTCGAAGACCGGAAGGACCCCCACGGGGAGAAGAGGGAGTTCCAGGACGGCCCGTACGACGAGATGGCCGGCCCCCCCTCTCAGTTCGAGGGACCAGAACAAGCCCCCTTCATGGCGGGCAGAGGCACGGCGCCTTTCCAGTTCGGAGGCCAGAGGAGGCCTCTGCTGTCACAGTTTAAGGGCCCCAGAGGAGGTCCCCCTCCCTCTCAGTTTGGAGGTCAGAGAGGGCCCCCGCCCGGCCACTTCGTGGGCCCGAGGGGGCCGCATCCCGGTCAGTTCGAAGGACCCAGAGCCCAGGCACCAAACTTCATGCCGGGGCCCAGGGGGATCCAGCCTCAGCAGTTCGAGGAGCAGAGGGTGAGCTCGCCCCCAAGATTCGCCGGCCCCCGGGCGCCAGCGCCCCTGCCGTTCGGCGGGCCGAGAGGGTCAGCGCCCTTCCCCGAGAAGAGCGAGCCCGCACCGCCCCGCTTCCACTTCCAGGGCCCGCCGGCCCCGGGGCTGAAGCCGGCCCCCAGGCCGCTGCTGGAGCTGCCCAGCCACCCGCCGCCGCACCGGCCGGAGCGCTGGGACGAGGCGCCCGCGCAGGGCCCCGAGGCCGACTTCCGCGAGGGCAAGGGCCACGAGTACAGAAGCCAGGCCTTTGAAGGGCGGCAGAGGGAGCGGTTCGAAGCCGGGCCCAAAGAGAAGCCGCTGGAGGAGCCCGAGGCCGCGCCGCCGGAGAGCCGGCCGGGCAGGGCCCTGGAGGAGCGTCGGCGGGAGCGGGGGCGGCGCTGGAGCCGGGAGCGGGACTGGGACCGGGGCCACGAGCGGGGCCGTCACCGCGACAAGGACCCGGGCCGCGAGTGGGACCGGAGTCGGGAGCGCGGCGCCGACAGGGACCGAGGGCGGGAGCCGGAGCGGGCGGCCGAATGGGGCCGGAGCCGGGAGCGCAGCCGGAACCGGGACCGGGAGCGCCGGCGGGAGCGGGAGAGGTCTCGCAGCAGGGAGCGCGGCCGGGACCGCACCCGCGAGCACGGCCGGGAGCGCAAGGACCGCAGCAAAAGCAAGGAGGGCGCCCGGGACCCCAAAGCCGAGGCGCCTCGGGCCGCCACCCCCGCCACCCAGACCTAGCGCCGGCCGCGCAACGCTCCCGCGGGGCCGGCGCCCGGGTCGTGGTGAGCGCCTGGGTGTGCAGAGAGCTACGAACTGCGATGCAGAATAGAACGTTCTGGACTTCGACGATTGCTGTAATTTTGTGTATAGTGGTTTCTTACAAAATTTCACATCTTTACAATTCTGTTGCTTTTTAAAAAAAAACAAAACTAAGAACTGAATATTTCCATTTAAAATCACTGAAATGGGAAAGCGTCTACAGAAGCATATTGCTTTTTCAAATTATAAAGTTATCTTTTCCAATAACTTGAGTCTAGTAACTTTTAAGGGAATTTCAGTGGACCCTAGAGCCATACCTTCGCTGACCTCTCACCTGTATTTCTGTTTCCAGAAGCTGTTGTCACAGGTGTAGTGCTCGGGGGCAGGTGGCCTGCTTTCTCCTCGCTCCCTGGGGTGTCAGATGCACAAAAGCCCACAAATGCATTTTCCTTTTGTCCTAAAGAAATTTGAATTGCAAATTTCAACCAGGAAACAAAACATTTCTTAGTTTTGCTCAGTTTTTATATATCACTTTATACATTTTTTTTCAAAAACGTGATTGAAAGCAACATCTGTCCAAGTAGAAATTGTTGCATTTTAAATAGCAATCTATTGAAAAAGGTGTAACCTTTACCAGCCTAAAGAAAGTGAGAAGATAAGCCAATTAAGTGTACTTTAAAAAGGGGGTGGGGGGAGGGGGGTTACTTGGACTTGAACGATCAGGAACATTTTGTTTGTGAAACCCGACCCTCTGAGCAGTGCTTCCTGTGTCCCAGGGAAAGGGCACCAGCTCCAGACTGTTACACTGTCCCGTGATGCATTTTAGAGTTTGTCATTGAAAGCGGAACAGTACTTGTGTGAAGTCTGGGACGGAAACCAGTGATCGTAGTTAGAGAGCTACAACTCAGGAAGCTGTTGGCTGAAACAGCGGCCTGCCTTCTGTGGCGTATTTGCAGGTACTTCCGGAGCGTGAGAGGGAGGAAACCTTGCTAATTTATTTGACTGTACAAATACACTTTGATAATTTTTTATATTTTCATAAACTTACTTTTGCAAGTGTAAAATTAGGGAATTTCATTCATTCTTTGGAGTCTGTTCCATCGTACATCACTACAGATTTTTCACTTTCTAGCACAAACGTACAAATGGTAAGAACACGGAGGACTTAGTGATTTGGAGGGACTGGGATTCCAGAGCAAACGTCAGGTGACACCGCAGCCGAGTGCTGAAAGTTCCAACGTCTCCTACGATGCGAAGGGTTTTTTACATGTAAAACACATTTTTCTAATTTAAATACACAAATGTAAAAATCAAGTGTGTTTCTTTAGGTTTACTTGATAGAAATTTCTGTAAATTGTATTTTATATTACAAAGTATTATATCACTGTACATTAAAACACGGAACTGCATAGGTTTTGTTACTTGAAGTAGAATAAACATCTACAGAAGGTTTTCTGGCGCGCCTGTGTCACTTCCCCTGTCGGGAGTCGGGCTGGGGGGCCCCTCGGCGAGCTCGCACACCCCCACCCCTGCCCTGTGCCGACGACCCCCACCCCCCGACTTTGAGTCGGGTGACCCACCCTACCGCTCTGCCTGCTCGAGCGGTGCCTGGTGCCGTGGCCGCCGTGGCCTGGAGGTGTGGTGGAGCTCGTGGCCCAGGCTCCGGTGCCGCGGGTGGAGTGGATGGCCGTGGCCGAGCCGGCAGGCTGACGCGGTGCCTTCAGGGCGAGGGGAACGGCTCCCAAACCTACACGCAGCCACTGCCGGGGCAAAGGACACGGCGTGGGCGTTGCCCTGGAACTTCAGCACCCAGCTGCCCCCCCAACTGACCTCAGTCCGATGACCGTGTCCCAGAAGCTCACTCTCAGCAGGCACGTCCCCAGCCCCGCTGTGAGCAGAGGCAGAGAGACCATCCTTCCTGAGGACGCTCCCGTCCTGTTGGGTGTCCTGTCACCAGTGGTTGGCAGGTGTCCCAGCCCAGCACAGGGCAAACCAGGGAGGGCCCCTGGACACAGAGCAACCAAGGAGGGTTCCGCAGGGGGCAGCACCCGGCCCCCCAGGCCGCTGTTGCCTCAGAAGAGTGTGCTGAGCCGAGACGGCCCACAAAGGCGCACGGAGGCGGGCGGCCTGTTTGCGGGGAACCGCGAGGGGCCAGGCCTGGCCGGGTGCAGGGCCGCCGTACCCAGAGCTGACCGGGGACACCGAAGAGGCTGGGCACGGCGCCCAGGCCTGCACAGTGCTGTCAGAGGGGTGTCCCCGGAACGTCGGGAAACCGGGCCCCGTTTTCAAGTTCTCAGTCCTTCGTACGCTCACTGCTCAGATGTTTGCCTTCAGTCGTGTTCACCCCAGAGCCTGTGTCTCCCACGCTCCACGGCACCAGGATGCTCTGTCCTCACCCTGCCGCCTGCCACCCCCGTCACCCCTCCAGCCTGTGACCCCATTTAGCCAACGGGACCCCTGAGCTGCACGTGGGTCTCCAGAAACCCGAATAGCGAGGAGTCTGGCTTGAGGATGCGGCCCTTCTTCCCTGAATCTTTTTCCCCTCTGTTTTCTTTTGTTTACAAAATTGGGATTCTATACATTCTTGTATCTTTTTTTTTTAATTTGCTTTGTCCTGGGAAATTCCCAAAGGCATCAAATATTCATCAAAAGACATTTTGGAGGCACCTGGGTGGCTCAGTCGGTTCGGTTGAGCGTCCGACTTCGGCTCGGGTCATGATCTCACGGCTCGTGGGTTCTAGCCCCGTGTTGGGCTCTGTGCCGACAGCTCGGAGCCCGGAGCCTGCTTCCGATTCTGTGTCTCCCTCTCTCCCTGCCCCTCCCCTGCTCATGCTCTGTCTCTCAAAAATGAATAAACGTTAAAAAAAAATTTTTAAGTCATTTTGTATTTTTCCCATTGTTGACAAGGTTTGTATCTTCTCCTTTCAAGAGAATGATGCTCCCTGTAGATCCGTGAGGTCCTAAGCATCAACCGCGGAGCATGTAGGAAATGAAAGGAGCATATGAAGAAAATGAAGATCTGCCGTCCCCTCCCCGTGAATGTGGTCATCCAGAAACATCCAGACACAAGCCTTCCTAGCGGTATTTCCAGCCCCTTTCTTATGTGCACGTGTTCCTGATGTTCGGGTGCATCACCAAGGACACGTATTTAGGAAAAGCCCAATGAACAGAGACCACCTAGCGTATGTCTGCGTGCTTCACACGCACCTAGAGGCAGGCAGTCCCAGTGGGTAGAGCGGCCTCCGTGTCCCTGACAGCCCCGTCCTCAGCTTGTGACTTTGTCCTCATGGTTGCAAGAAGGCTGCCCCTGCAGGCGTGACATCATCATCTCACTGTTCTGGGAGGAAGCCAGCATGAGAGACAGAGCCGTAGCAGGGCAGCCCTGCCCCATCTGCCTTCCTGGTTGAAACTTTTGCTTATATCTTGTCGCCACGCTGTGTCACACGGCCACCCCTTGCTGCACAGGAACAAGTCCGGGCCTGCCAGAAAACCAGAGGAGGGGTCAGCACCGCGGCGAGGAAGGGCAGCCGGAGCCACAGCCAGGCAGGCAGTGCCCGGTTCCTATCAGTGACTTCTCCGTCACCTTCCACACCACCCAGCAGGCGCCCTGCTGGACACATGCCCCCAAAGCATGCGTTATCCGCAGGGCAGTGTCACCCCCGTGGGGGCCAAGGCTGGTTCTGGGGGTACAGGTCTTAGCTACTGCAACGGTCTGTGGCCCTCCGAAGGGCCCAGCGCCGAGAAAAGTCTGGAGGGGCTTCTTGGGGAGCCGCCGTTTTTCAAAGGGTGGGAAGCTGCCCTACACGGAAGAAGACTTCTGCACACACGAAAATCTGTAAGCAAACATCTACAGTGATTTACTCATAACTGCCCAAACCAGGAGACCACCCGAAGTCCCCTCTGTCCACGCATGTCCCAGCCGGGGCTCAGCCGCAGCCCAGCCGTGAAAGTGAGCACGAGCGGGCACGGGCCGCGGTGCGGGGGCCTCTGCTGTGTCGAGCGAGGGGGAGAAGCCAGACCGGAGGCCACCAGCCCATCACGTGACAGCGGGGATAGATGGGGCTGGGGTGAGGGGAGCACGCCGCTGGGGAGCGGCACCAGGGAGTCACGGGGGTGGGGTGTTGGCTGCGTGGCTGTTTGCAAGTGCCAAAACTCACAGAAGATGCCCAAGCGAGTGACGGTTACTGGAAGTGACGCCGTGTCGCCCAGACGAAGAGTGGAGGCCGGGCGTCGCGTTGGCAGCAACCAGAGGTGAGTCCTACCCCCCGCAGCTGCACTTGTACACATACACAAACACACACACACACACACGTGTGCACATGCACACTCACGCACACTCACACCCATGCATGTGCGCACACATCAGGGACAAAAAGAAAGGAGCTCAACTCTGGAGGTGATTCTGCAGCAGTCCGGCTTTGTTCGCCCGGAATACGGCAAAGCCTTATTCCGGCAGTGACTCGCCTTTGATTTCAGAAAAGACCCCCCACGTATCTGTAATTATACAGCCATAAGTGAACATCTCTTCTTCTTTAAAAAAAACAGAACGGAGCGGGGGGTGGCGCCCTCTGACCTGGGCCTGGGGTCTTTCCTCTGCCATTTCCTTCGTTCTGTCTCTGCCACGCGGCTGGATGACCCCTTGTCTGTCCTGCCCTGCGGATCCTGCCTCCTTGTCCTGCCCCTTTGCCTGGAACTCCTCCCCCGAATTTCTCCGGAAGGGACTTGGTCTACCCCTGGCTGCTTTCGCCGTGTTGGGATTTTGCAGGCTGTCACTGGAGACCGTCTGTCCCCGCTACCGCTCCTGATGCCTGTCACCTTGCCCCCGACCAGGGCAGCATGAAGCTCTGGCTTCTGCCAGCCCGTGCTCACTCTCATTTCTCGCAAGTTCGAAGCGGTTGCCTAGAACTTTCCCCTGGTTTGTCTTTCCTTCTGCGTGTGTGCGCGCACATGTGTCTGACTAATCAATACTTTGATAGCTGAGAAATCTTTGGGCAAGCAGAGGGAAACTCACATTTTGTTCCCCGTCCCATTCCTTTGTCTTACAAATCTAGGGAACGATGTTTCTTAAATAAATATTTAAACTCAAAATTAAATGTTTAACGTCCTTATAATCAGTATTTAATAATAACTAAATTTCCAGGGGCGCCTGGATGGCTCCATCAGCAGAACGCCCCACTTGGTTGAGCGTCCGACTCTTGATTTCAGCCCGGGTCACCATCTCGAGGTTCGTGAGATCCAGCCTTGCGTGGGGCTCTAGGCTGACAGCGTGGAGCCTGCTTGGGATTCTCTCTCTGCCCCGCCCCTGTCCACGTACTCCCTCTGTATATGTACGTCAAAACAAAGAAACTTAAAAAAGTAAATTTCCAAATACTTAGATATCAGTTACAAAGATACTTAATAAAAGCCTCCTAAGTGGCTAATGAAACTCACACCTGTAACAAAGGTTTATCAGATTCCCTCAGTCCTCGTTCACCTTGAGGAGCGAACAAAGCTCACAAACCACAGCGACAACGCGACGCTCGGCAAACAGCTTCCTGACTGCGAGTGCCGTGGGCGCAACTCGCTTCTTCATGATCTCTCCTTGCGTGGGTCATCCCGGGCACAGAGGACCCTGAAGACAGGGATACAGGATGGACAGACAGACAGGCATCAGGGAGGCTCCTCATGGCACCTACCCTGCCCGCTGTGGCCACAGGGTAATGCTGTGGGCAGCCCGTGGTCCGCGCCCCACAGGCCAGAGCTCCAAGTCTGCGAGACAGGCAGAGGCAAGGGGAAGCAAGGTCAGGCCGGGGCAGGGGGTCGTCTGTCGTTCCGGCTTCTCCGGCAGGATGCCCTTGCCTCCAAGGTGGGAGGAGTGAGAGAGACACGTGTGCTGGTGCGTTCCCGTGGCTCACGTAGCCCAGCCACAGCCCATGCCAGCCACGTGAGCCGCCACGCACAAGACCCCTCGGTGCTGCAAAGCAGCCGGCGGGGGCTTCTCTTCCGGTGTCTGGATCTCACATACAAGTGCCTCTGGTGACCCCCTGAACTGGGAATATGCAGGAGAGGGCCTCCTGCTCTGCCAGCCCGGCCCCCAGCACAGCCCCCAGACTGGCCCCCAAGCCTGCTCAAAGCTGCCTTTTAAACATTTTTTTTTAATTTTTTTTTTCAACGTTTATTTATTTTTGGGACAGAGAGAGACAGAGCATGAACGGGGGAGGGGCAGAGAGAGAGGGAGACACAGAATCCGAAACAGGCTCCAGGCTCTGAGCCATCAGCCCAGAGCCTGACGCGGGGCTCGAACCCACGGACCGCGAGATCGTGACCTGGCTGAAGTCGGACGCTTAACCGACTGCGCCACTCAGGCGCCCCTCAAAGCCGCCTTTTAAACCTTAAGTTCCAAGGGTGCCTGGGTGGCTCAGTTGGTTACGCATCCAACTTTGGCTCAGGTCATGATCTCGCGGTTCGTGAGTTCGAGCCCCGCATTGGGCGCTGTGCTGACGGCTCGGAGCCTGGAGCCCGCTTCGGATTCTGGGTCTCCCTCTCTCTCTGCCCCTCCCCCAGTCATACTCCGTCTTTCCCTCCCTCTCTGAAAAGTAAATAATCATTAAAAAAATTTTTTTAAATAAAAACAAATAAACCATACACTCTAAACAAACACAATGGCAGAGTGGCGCTCCCACCTAACTGGGTGCAGCTATCCCGGAAGTACGCCCACTCCCAGGAGGAGACAGTCCCTCCTTGCCCTGGCGAAGTTCAAGTTCGGTGTTCTCCACTGGCCCACACTCCCACCTGGAGCTCGGGATGAGGTCAGCCACTCTCAACACACCCGATGTCAGACAAGAGGGTCAAGAGGGCAGAAGAAAACAAGAGTATGCGGTTAATAAGCACACACATGTATGTTATCTCCGAAGCAGGAAGGGACACTCCTGGGGTGGTCACCTCTGCAGTGGGCCATGTGGCCGTAACCAGGGTCTCTTGGCTTCCTTGCCATCCAGTCCATGCTCCCTTGGTCCTGGAGCTCCTCAGCCGGTCTAGACTCCCTGCCTGGTGGGTGCCCCAGAGCGTCCTTCCTTCGGGCCCGAACTATCGGCGATCCCGCCTGAATTGCCTCGTGGTGGCTTCACTGATTCAATCACAGGACTTGGGGGTTACCAAGAGATGGCCCCAGGAATGCTCCAGCATCTCAGGCGTGTTCTCCTGACCCTCACTGACAAGTAGCAGCCTCACTGCCCTTGCTAGGAGGCCGGGTCACCCCGGCCAGGGCAGTCTCCCTCCTTTGCCCGTTCGTTCACTGGCATGGAGGGGCTGAAGTGGCCAGGTGGCCGTCCCCGCCGACAGCCCCGCGAGACCATCACTGCGTCCTCTAGAGGAAGCTCTCTTCCCTTTGAACTGACTCTTCTAGAACCAGAAGTGGCAGGAACGGGCAGCAAAGATCCAGCTAGTGGATCAGCAGAGGGAACAGCGAGAGGCGCCACCCCATTTCCAGCCCTTGGTTCCCAGACCCACGAATCCCGGCGGTGGAGAAAGAGAATCATAAATTGGTGCTGACCCCGAGCGTGCGTCCTGAGAGGCAGCGCCCCAGCCCTGCAAGCTTCTCCCGCCACCCGGCTGGCGCCGTGACGGAGTCTTCCAAAGGCCGCCAAGTACCTCTCTCAGAAGGGCCCAAACCCAGAACTCTGACCCCAGACGCTGGCGAGGGCGTGGGCGGCAGGAGCGCTCACCCTGGCCGGCGGGAATGCGGAACGGCGAGGCCGCTCATGAAGGCAGCGTGGTGGTTTCTTACAAAAGTAAACATACTCTTACCGCACGATCCACAGCCATGTCCTTGGCAGTTACCCAAAGAAGTAGAAAACTTCCGTCCACACAAGAACCCGCACACGGATGTTTATGGCAGCTTTATTCACAATCGCCCAGACTCGAAGCAGCCAAGATGCCCTCGGTGGGTGTGGACCACCCAGACAGCAGAATATTATTCAGGGCTAAAAAGAAATGCGCTCCCAAGGCCCTGGGGACACATGCGGGAAGCTTAATCGCATATTACCAAGAGAAAGAAGCCAGTCAGAAAAGGCTACACACTGTGTGATTCCAACCGTATGACATTCTGGGAAAAGCAAAATCATGGAAACGGAGAAGTCAGTGGCTTCCTGAGGGGCGGGGAGGGGAGGGACAGGCGGAGCACCGAGGATTTTCAGGGAAGATGTTCAGTATGATACCCGACATACGTGTCAGATGCACGTTTTGTTAAGTTCAGACCTCGGCGTATTTTGAGTGGTGGTAAACGTATCGTATTTTAACGGCAGCATATACACGTCCACTGCCGGTGTATGGGAAGACAGCGGTATGTGTGTGCTGTTCTTTTCTGTGACCTTGCCGAAGTCACTTGTTAGCTTTTTTCCAGGTTCCGTAGGATTTTCTACATAGATCATACTGTCTGCACTTTTGTCTCCTTATGAATTCTTTTCTCCTGCTCGTCGTATTGCATAGACTCCGGTGTGATGTCAGACAGACGTGGTGATGGTGGAGATCTTTGCCCTTTTCCTAACCTGGGGAAAACATTCAGTCTTGTGCTGTTAAGTATAATGCTCGCTGTGGTTACTTCCCAGATGCCCTTTATCGGGTTGAGGAAGTTCCCTTCCATTCGTGCTTTGCAGTTTTTCTCAGAAATGGATGTTAGATTTGTCAAACACGTTCTTTTTTCTTGTTGCAATTTTGAGTTTATCATACTTTTTTTTTCTTTGTGGTCTTTTTAAAGTTTATTTTGAGAGAGAGAGAGAGAGAGAGAGAGAGAGAGAGCGCACTCATGCAAGCAGGGTTGGGGCAGAGACAGAGCATCCCAAGCATGCTCCCTGCTGTCAGCCCAGCGAAGGGGGGGCTCGAACCCACGAACCGTGAGATCACGACCCGAGCTGAAACCAAGAGTCAGATACTTCACTGACCGAGCCACCCAGGCGCCCCTTTTTTGGCCGTTAACACAGTACATTATGTTGGTTGATTTTCGAATGTGAACGAAACTTGGGTCACTGGAGTAATCCCCACTTGGTTGTGATGTATCACTCTTCTTTAAAGATCTTGTTGCATTCAATTTGCTAAGATTCTATTAAGGATTTTTGCACGTTTGTTCGTCAGACATTGCTCTGTGGTTTTATATTCCTGTAACATCTTGATCCGGTTTTGATATCAAGTCACACCGGTTTCACAGAATGTATGTTTCTATGATGGTTTCACATGCGGCACTTACCCTCATGAAGCGTGGCTCACACCGAGGGTGTGCTTTCGGTTTTCAATGGTGGGTCCACGGCCGCTAAGCTGACTCTGTGACCCACCGTGGGTCTTCCCCCAGATAAGGACCGCGTGTGCCGTGCTGATTCGGCGCAGTCCCTTCTCCCGGCCCCTCTCAAATTCGGTTTTCTTGCCTGTTTGGGGCAGAGGCTGCTATTCGCTCACAGGAGCCACGGCTGGAGACCTCACTCCCCGCATGCATGCCGGGCTGCGCCGGGATTCTCGGTGGGGTTCACAGCTCTGGGGGGCTGCCTCCCGGGGGGTGGGCGGCACCCCTGGGAGCTGCACTTAGACTTTAGAAAAGCACGTTTGGTATTCTCTTCACTTTTTTTTACTTCCGATGCCAGTTCCAGTGAAGCCACATCATTCTCGCGAATATTCCACCTCTAAACAGAAGAGGCCTCGAAAACTGTCTGCGGGAACCCCACCCAAATGAGAAACAAACACACGTGGTAGGTGCCGATGGTCTTTAATTCCAGTAAGTGAAAAACCAAATCGGATATAATCTTGAGTTTACTTTCTCAGTGACACAGCACTCTGTGATTTTGCTGTTCAGCGAGGTCCTTTCAGCAGCAGCACGCGCATCAGATGGGGCTCCTGAGAAAGTGGCTTCCGGGTCCCACCCAGGCCTGAATTAGAATCTGCTTTTTAACAAGGTCCTGGTGACTCTGTGCGCATTGTGGTCTGTGTCGGTGCCGCGCTTGGAATCTTCTCAAAGGTTTTACCCACGTCCCTCTGTGTATTTAGCGGCTTTGTAATTTCGCTTTTTAAACTTCCATATTTCAATCACCTCTAGCTAATCTCTGTGTCTGGTGTGGAAATAAGTGCTCTAGCTTGGTTTGCTTTTTTTTTTT